CTCTTATACTGACATTCACTTCAACAAAAACATTATACCCCATGAACCTCTTTCGAATGGATTCAGGGCATATGAAAAAAGAAAAATCAGAAGCGTGAAACAATAAAATAATAACTCCAAAATTTCCAGCTAATAAACAAATTTTAAGTTCAAATAGCAAACAAAAAACAAATTGTGGGCGTAATAAAATCTTTATATATTTTTTTTATATCATATATAGCTGGTATTATGATTATTATTGTTGTTGTTGTTGTCGTCGTTTGTAGCAACGGGAATTTCAATAGAGAAACGCTTGGTTTCACATTTCCCGCTTCCGTTGTGTCAGGCAACAGCCAGTGGAACGATCCAATCTAAAAGGCACAATGCAGACCCATTGGCCGGAATGGACACGTAACGATAACAAATCACATCATCTATTGCTGTTAGAGTGGATCGCGTGACATGACACGAACGAGGCGTTGTATAACACGAACGGTTTATGTTGATAAAAGGGTAAATTGATGCTCCAAGCAAGTCTAAATTAACATAAATCAAGAGAGTGTATATCGAGTAAGAAATTGTGAAGACTTTGAAACCTCCAAGCCATAGCGAAGTTTAGTGTAAAACCATAATATTCTGAATAAATAAAATCAACTTTTTAAACCACCCTCTATTTTGCTAGCCTCTTGAGTCTATAAACTAGAAGTACAACATACTCTTATACTCTCATATTATAACAGCTCTCAGAAACTTCCACAGTATTTCAAAGTCGTTCAAACTCCATCTTTAATCAGCTTATTTCACATAAATTTCTGCTCATATTCCATGGCCTTGCTCACGCTGCCATCTCTAATGCCACATGACTGCAACAAATCGCATTTGTCATAGAACTGGAGAGAGAGAACATTTGATATGTTGTTTGTATTTGAAGTAAATTGGGCTAAACAGTGATTGGCAGCAAAACAGGTGTAAATTGAGCCAAGGCAGGAAGGCTTCGGGCGTAAGTCAGCATCCAATTACAGGCAAACAGATTTTTATTAACAAGACGTTGCGAATGCATTTGGCATTTGGCATTGTCTACGTAATTAGACAACAATGCAGCCAACAGATACAAAAAGCAGGCTCAAAGATGCTCAGGTGTTAATTGAACTAGGGAATGATGGAGTAGTGGAAGAAACTATCTGGCAACAGCTGCAACTAGGTGCAGGTAAAAATCTACCGCTTATCGACAGCATGTTGCAAGGTTTGTCTTTTAACTCGTCTGCTCACTTTCACCCTGGCGATACGCCAAGGGTTAAAGGCGCCAGACAAATTGCTCACTAATTGGTTTTATTAAGTTATCAGGAATTAAAAAAGGGTATCTTAGGGTCTAGGCCCTTAATGGGAGGTGTGACAGGAAATACATGACGTTGATAAGTTCACTTTTTATGCCTCGAGCCCATTAAAAAATGTGTAAACAGGGTATAATTTAAAGGCTGTGTGGCTGACTTTCCTAGAGGTCTAGATGTCCTTGACCAAAAGTGACAGCCCCGAGCCAATATAGAACTGTATAAGAGAGTGTAAAAATAAGATCCTAAAGGTTAAGTGCACGTGTGTGAAAGTAGAATCGAATAAGGCTATTAGAATATAAGAGCGAATGAGTATGTGAGTATAAGTAAACAGTATCTACTACACATGGGTTTTTTAGTATAAGAGAAATTGTAAGAGTATGAGTGAAGTATAAGCGTAAGAATATAAGAGCATTAGAGTAAAGAGTATGTGTATCTTTGTATGTACCGAGTATAGACGTAGTTAACGACATTATGAGTATAAGTGTTAATAATATAAGAGTGAGCATGCACTCCACGTAGGTTCTCCTGTAGTACGAGCACAACAAATTTATTTCAAGCATCCATAATATTTTCCACATCAATGAAATCGATTAAAATCTATAACAAAATGTATTTAAGCATATCATACACTTTTAAAGAGCTCAAGTCACCAAACGTCGACGAGTATACTTCATTTAAAGAGCGTCCCCTATTTGTATTTTTGCACGAGTTCAGTAGACTCAGGTCTATACGACCATAAATTGTGTTTTTTTGTTGATGGTTTACCCTTTGTAGAAAGTAAATTCTTTGTAATTCAGTTCAACTAAAGTGTTGAATTAAACTTTATTGAATTTAATTACAATTTTACATAAACTGGAAAGTCGTTATATATATATATATAGTATATTTATATATATATATATATATATATATATATATATATATATATATAGTTGCATGTTGAATATCTCATAATAAGGTAGTTATGTATGTTATATAATATACATATATATATATACATATATATATATACGTTTAGTATGTGACATAAAAGTTGATTTTTTGTTAACAGTTAACTGTTGCTGCTTCTTCTTGAAATTGATTTTTCTTTTTAGATTTCTACAAAGTCTGGTGCGAAATTTAGAATATATATATATATAAATATATATATATACATATATATATTAATATATAGTATAAAGCGAACATAAATTTAGTTGGTGTTTCAATTAAAGTTATATTATCATTTTGCTTTTTCTTAAAGACTTTTGGAAAGTTCTTAGGGATATAGTCTAGCTATAAGAATTCGATCCTCCAATTCATTTTTAACAGATATGTGAATACCCAAAACAATTTTAGCTAGAATAAAGTTGCAAGTATAAAATGTTTAATCGAATATCAACAATTGGTGTTGTTTACTTTAGTTTAGTTTAGTTTAGTTTAGATTTCCTTTTAAGAGTTAAGAGTTTTCTTTTTATAATATAACAGTTTTTTCTTTTTTTTTGGTAATGTGGATACTATGAAACTAGCATTTAGGGCATTTTTTATGATTTTAATATATATTTATATATTTTTAGCATTTACTTATTAAAATTGCTAGAGGATAGATTTTTTTAATTTTTATGTTTATTTTTATAATTAAAATTAAATTGTTTATTAGTTTTAAGTTTTTAGTGCCAATTGGCTTAAGGTACTTTAAGTTTTTCTTTCTTCTTTTTTACTAGAGTTTAGTATAGAGTGTGTATGTGTGTGTTTGTGTGTATGTAGTAGTAGTAGTAGTTGTATTAGTTTTAAGTATTTATATATAGATATATGTGCAAATATTGCAAAGGTTTTTATTTTTACATTTCAACAACATAACAAAAGAGCTTTAGATAGTTTTTATTTTCTAACTCTAAAAATTGATTGCAATTCTTCTTTTGTTTTATATATATTTAAGTCATTAAGTAGAGAAAATCTTTAATTAGTCTTCATTTCAGATTAGTTTCGTTTAAGTACATAAAGTAGTTCAGTTACATATATATAAATATATATGTATATATATATATATATATATATATATATATAGTACATATATTGAAAGAAATGCAATTGAAGAGTTTTAAGAGTAGGTGCAGAAAATGAAGTTGTTTTTGGTAAGTTTTAATATAGTTAACAATTGATAATCGATCTATAGAATTGGCTCTAGCTGTAAGCCCACAACAAAGATGCGTAGGGATAGAGTATATATATATATATATAGTATATATATATATATATATATATATATATATATATATATATATATATATAGATTAACTCACAGCCCAAATGCAATGAGTTCTGTTTTGCACATGCCGTAGAAATTGAAGTGTGGTGTGTGTGTGTGTGTATTTGTGTTTGTGTATCAATTCTTAATTATAGATATATGACAAGATTTATTTCAATGTTTCTTCTGTTTCTTTTTCTGAGGCGTGCTGGAGGTATGTCTATATAAATTGTATGTATGTCAAGTTTCACGAGTTTTGCTCAGAAAACTCTATTATATATATACAGTATATATATTTATATATATATATGCCTGTTTATGAAAGCTAACAATGTGGACGGACAAAAATAATTTACAAAAATTCTTGTATTGTTACATTTAGTTTTGAATGGCGAAAAACGAGTTTTCGCTCTTTTTCGATTAAAGATTGAACAGTTATTTATATATATATATATGCACATATATATATATATATATAGTGCGATTTATCGATTGCATGCATAGGATATTATTTCTCTCATAATTTTATAGCTAATTTTTTATTGCTAGACTACAAAAGTCACAAAGTTGACAGACTTGGCTTTAAGTACTTGCGTTAAACAAATATATATATATATATATATATGTAGCGTATATAGAGCATACTTAATCTTAAAGTATAATTAAAAATTATAAAGAAATAAGGAAAGAAAAAATGTTTTTAACATGATATTTTGTTTTCGCTCTATCGATTTTAGAAATCAACAACAACATTTGGACTTTCGAGCTGAGCTTTAAGTATAATTTATAATACTATATATAGCTAGGATATATTTATACTTTTATATGTTTTTAAAATCGAGAATTAATGCTTTAGATATTATTACACGCTGTTTTAGAAACAAGCAGAGCTCAAATTTAAATACAATTACAATAAAATAGTTTAAAGTTCTTTAAGTTTTCGAATTAGAGCTAATTTTATATACATACAAATGGAACTACTAGGCATATAGCATATAGCGTATATATATATATAGATTTATATCTATATTTTGTATTGATTTATATCGCTTTTAAAGTATTTTAGACTAAATTTCTTTTGCTACACTTGGAGTTAAAAAGTTTTTCGAAGGCTTCGTTAATAAGTTCTTTTGAGTTGACAAATGGAAAAGTAGAGCTCTCTATATCTCTTTTGCGAAGAATTTTTGTTGCTTTTGTTGTTGTTTTATAAAATAGTAAAACTACGTTTTACAAAGTTTCAGAAAATCAATCGTTCTATATATATATATTAAAATTCGTTATGCAAATGAATAAAAGTGCAGATCTTGCTACTACATATCATTTATATATATATATTTCTTTATATATGTATATTATCAAGTCAGAAACGAAAAGTTCCACTACAAGAGGTGCTGCGTGTCTTAATAAACAATTATGAAAGTAGAAAGTTTCACTCAGTTGTTAAAGCTATTAATAAATTCTTATTGAACATAGTTTTTTTCTTCATATACATAATATATTTTTATCGCTTCTCTCTCATAGATTGGATTGCATATGCTGCAGATTGTTGTTGTTATTGGTGTTGTTGCTGTAAGATTAAATATATATTATATATTTGAAAGATGTGTATATAATTAAATCTTACCTATTCTCACTATGGCATACTGACATTTCCTGTTGCCCTTGATACTGCAAGTTTTGAAGGTATTCCGCCCTGCGTTGGTGCACCAGCTTCTCTTTTTCGGCTCGCTCTCTCTGTAGTCTATATCGATAAAAGATGAGATTAGAATAAATGTTAAAGATAAAATTAACATTTTTAATATAAATCAAATAATAATAATCTAGCCAACAAGAGAGAACTTAGGTGGGTTCCTGTTTTATAAAAACAGATCATGCTATACATTCAAAACGATTACGGTCTCTCCTATCGTTTATCGATTACACCCAATAATGATCAATTTGTTTTCATTATCAATTATTTTACTTATGTAAACTTATATTAATCGATTCAATAGCATTATCGATCACTTATTGGTATAACGACAGTCCCTAAGTTTTTATTATCGACCCATGGAAGAGTCCTTATTTTTTGTATTTAAAAATTGAACACATAATAATCGATTTATTATCAGGTTCAATCATTTTAATCTATTTCAATGCTAGCAAAATAAGCGATAAGATTGGAGCTAAAAATTTTCAGTCGTAAGAAAAATTAAAAATTAATAATGATAATAGTGAAACGTGTAAATCATAATTATCGATAATCGACTCATTAATCGAGAGCTTTGTAATACTACTCCATTAAGATCTTACCAAAGTCGTCAAGTTGCCATCCCAAATGCTAGCGTGCAAAATTGTTGTATATAATTACAATTTTTAGTATCCAAACTTGACTTAGTTCTATATAATCTTAGGTATACATAGAGAAGTTATTGGGCATAAGAACTTACTTGATGCGTGATTGTCTCATGAACTGTTGTATTTTTCTGGCAGCCTGATTTTGTGTAGACTGGGAATATGTACGCCTGCGCATAGAGAGAGCATAGATAAAGATGCAGATCAGTTACAGTAAGAGTAGATAATATGAGGTAGATATATGGATAATGATACAGATAAAGAAACAGATATATATATATATATATATATATATATATATAAATAGTTGTGTGCCGTAATGAAAGCGTCACTTACTTCAGAGGACCCGACGGACTCGTCTCCTTGGGCGTGCTGGGCTGTGAGCTGAGCTCCTGCTGCTGCTGTTGATCCTGCTTGTAGTGATCGTAGAAGCTGGAGAGGCATTGGGAATTACTGCTGACGCTGCCCTGTTCGCTGGCTGTGCCCAGTTGGGACTTCTTGAAGCGCTTGTTGCGTCGATACGAGCGATAGCCGTGCTGTATGACTAGAGCTGCATTGGTCATCTGTCGGTAGTAAGCGTATTGCTTGTAGCGACGGTAATAGTTTTGGATGACAATTGCAGCGGTACGCTCCTTGTTCTGCTCCTCCATCTTCTGGCGGCCCTTGTACGAACGATATGCCTTCTGTATGCACTTGGCTGCCTCGTAGAGCTCCCGCTGTTCGGTGTCTGTGAGCGTTAGCTTTGAGAAATCTGCCTCGAATGGATATTGCGAAATGCTGGAGGCATGCAGAAACTCCGTCAACTGTTTTGTTGAAGGCGGCGGACTGGGTGAGCTGACTGACGGATCTGTGCCTAGAATTGAGTAGCTAGCCGGCGATTGCAGAGGACCCGAACTGGCGGGACTCAAACTGGAGCAAGGTGTGCTCACATCATGATATCGATAGCTGTGGTCATGAAAATCAAAACTAAAATCGCTATCGAAATGCGTATTGGGCAAAGAATCGAGCAGCGGATCCATAAAGCTATCTGTCAGAGCCGATGACTCCGAGGTGAGTGGCTCCGTTAAAGGACTGCCCAACACCATCATTTCGTGCGCTTCGTTCTGTAAAATAGAGGCAATGCATTAGCTTATATAATGTCTATATACTCCTCTATATATCTCACTCACCTTGATTCTGTCTGGCATAGCTGCTATAATATGTTCCGCTAGCGTTAAAACTTTTGCATCGGAATCCCCTGAAAGTAGGCCACATAAAATGAATTGAGCTAAACTTTGGGCTGCTTAACTAGGCTTTACACAGTTCAATTAACGAGTCTACATATAATGCTGTGTTTAAATATACATCGACAAGCACCACAGTTAGTTGGCGAGGGTAGCTTGAGAAGTTAGCGCTGCTGATTCTTAATTGAAAGACATTTATTTTTAAATATGTTGAAGCTCCTCTATAAGAAAATCTGTTGCATAAAAATGATTTTAGAAATGTTTTTTGTCTATTTAAACCATTTGAATATGCTTCTATCTCTCATATAAAGTGCACCTGGAAAAGAAATAAACTAATTTTGAAGCAATTTTGAATTCATGATTTATTATTGCTATTATTAAATTTTGTTAAATTTTAACTCTTTTAAATAGGCGAATATTTGAATTAGGGTTACCATGGTTGACATTCAATATGATTTTAAGCTGATAGATCATTTGGATCATTAGATCTTAACGCAACTATTTGTTATCAAGACTAATATGGATTCATATAGCACTTATTTTGGAAGGATTTTTATGTATTTGGAACATGTAATATTTCTATGAATAGACAGAATTTTAAAATTTTAAAATTTATTTAGAAAATTTGGGTTTCTCATAGATATTGAAACATAAGCTGAATACTGGCTAAATATATCACATAAAGTGTTTTAGTATGAATACAATATTGGATAACTATTATATTGATTTAATAGCTAGAACTTTTTATTGAAAACCTTTTTTTTTGCATTAATATAAGCTAACTTGATACATATTCTGTACATATATATTTATATATATATATATATTTGATATTTGCATTAAACTGAACATGAATTCATCAATCAGATAATTCTTTGCTTTCACTTTCTAAGAGTCTGTTACTTCTTCAAGCCGCCCTCGTTGATGAGTATGTTTTGTATGTGTTTGTGAGTTTTCCAATAGTCACACAGACACACACTTAATATTTACAGAATGAACACATTTTGAGTATATATACAACGTGTATATATGTGTGTGTGAGTATAAATATGTATTAGTGTTAGTTAGTTAGTGTTAGTGTTACACATCGTTAATAACGCACATTTAAGATTAGTTCTAATCAAGTACAAATACATATATATAGTTATTGTGTCTGTATCTGTGTGTGTGACACTCATAGAGTATTAACATCGAAATCATAAATTGATTTGTGAATACACTCATATGCATATTCATAGCTATGACAAACATCAAGAACATTAATTATTTGGTATTTAAGAGGCTGCAGCTCAGAGCGAGTTGTGTGTATGTGTGTGTGTGTGTGTGTATTATTCTATATATGTATGCAACAACAACAATTAGCAACAGCAACCAACAACAACAACATTGAGAGACAGACAGCGAGAAACATATATATAAGAGTGTAAGAGAGACAGAGAGAGAGAGAGAGCGAGCGAGCGAGCGAGCGAGCTATACACAAAATGCATATTAGATTGGATGATTGCCAGCCCTCCTCCCCTTTTGTTGTTACGTTACAATATTACGAGATTACGTTAAGTGGTTAGCATAGAGAGAGAGAGAGCTTCCTCAGACTAACCTACGACCGCATCGTTGAGTTCATTGTTTAAAGTTGCGTCGGTCACGCTCGTCGAATTGTCATCGCAATCGATGTCTTTGTCGTGTATGGGACTCGATTCGCCCGTGGATACCTCGCCTGGTGTTTAGAATTTCGATTTTTATAGCATTCATATACAATCGCGCACAGTTAAGAGATATCTAATAGTAAGCATTAACTCTTGCTGCCCACAACTTACACAGAGCAAAATCCATTTTACGCATCGGCGATAGCAAACCAGAGCAATTGTTGCCGCTAAGCGAATCCAAAGGGGAATCCACGCCCAAAGCATAGTTGTCATGTGTCTCATAGTTGCTGAAGAGTAGAAATTTTACCGATATTGCCACTCAAAGTTCGCTTAGCTGCATTTGTCTTACCCGTGCAGCCTAGCCAAAGGCTTTCCAGATTTGCTGCGCATGTCCATGTTGATGCCGCTGTCTATGGAAGAGCGCTTCGAGTAGCGACTGTTGTTGTTTGGCGGACTTTGATTGCTGCAAATTGATGGGAAATCATTATTATTCCTCTTGTGGATGAAGTCAATATGCGTCAAGCTTACCTATGAAGCGCCACAGGTCGTAGAAAGACTCCGTCATGCCTGCGCTGCAGTTCCAGTTCATAGACACTATAGCTGGACTCATCAGTGGCCGCCTCGGCGGCCAGATTCATGGAGAGATTGGCCAGGCCACCACGTGGCTGTGGCTTGCGGCAGCGTTCCTTTTCAAGCCGGCACAACTGCTGCAGCAGCTGCTTATGGCCCTTCAAGCTGGCCAAATCGAGTGGCGTTTGCTGCGCCTGCGTCTTGATCTTCAGCGCATTATGATTCCATTTGTAGAGCAGCAGAGTGCACTCCAAATGTCCGCGAACACAGGCCCAAGCCAAGGGCGTAAACCCATGCACGTCCTGGCTAAGTGCATCCAGCTCTGTTTCGAGTATGATATGTGGATTCTCTGCACGCCAGTTGAGCATGGCGCCCACCAGCTTGGCATAGCCCAAGGCGGCGGCCAGATGCAGTAGGGTCATGCCACGCAAGCCAACGCTCCAATTGGCGCAAGTGCTGGGCGTGCTCCAGGCGTGCTTCGTCAGCCGATGGCAATAGAGCACCAACTTCTCCTCGAAGTTGGGCTCAAGAAAAAGGGAAGTTTGATCGAACTGCGAATGGAAAGTTGATATAAGAGAAAATGTATTCGATAGCCAAAATGGAGATTCGCTTACTGTGAGCTCATTCTCCAGCTTGAGCTGCAGTTTCTCATCTATGGTAGACAAACGATTCAACAACGTAAATTTGTACAGACAGTCGTTGGAGCTGCTGGCATCGAATGGCGCATCCGCTAGCAGCGACAATTTGTACTCAAACATCGCCGCATTGGAGACCAAAAAGCCGCCACATGCCACCTGCAAGGTAACCAAACCTGCCTCATGTGCTGGGCAATAGCAGCGCAAGACGCCCTCCTGGACGAGCACCGTGGGCACAGGCTGTGCATCGAACAGCACCGTATAGCAGCCACCATCACTCGTCCAAGGACCTGCCACGAGCACCTTGACTCCACCCTCTGTATAAGACCATTCCGGACTGAAGTCACAAATGTTGAGCAGCTTGCGCTGGGTGGTCGTGTTGTTGTGCGTGGCTAGATAAGAACTACCTGCCTGACTGTGCACCTGCTCGAGCGCCGTGTTATTCAAGGCCTGCTTATCATCCAGATCCAGTTCCGGAAATTCAACCAGCATATCAAACGCATCCAAATTGGCAAACACATCTGCCGTGTCCTCATCTTCACGTTCGTTTGAGTGTTGCTGTTGCTGTTGGTGTTGCTGCTGCTGAGCTGTTTCGTTGTTATTGCAATTAGCTGTTGCTGTTGTCGTTGTTCCTGCTGCTGCTGCTGCTTGACTATTGCTGCTGTTGCTGTAGGGCATATTGGCTATGAGCGTGCGTTGTATATCCTCGTGCGATAGATCTAATGTCTCATTAAAGAAGCTCATTGACTCTGCTTGCGGTTCATCGTCGTTGCTATTGTTGCTGTTGCTGCTGCTGCGACTGCGACTGCTGCTGTTGTTGTTGCTGTCACTAATTTGGCTGCTGTTATCACTGGAAGCACTGTAGTTGGCACAACCATTAAGAATTTGGGCATCCGTTGCCTGATTGTTGACGCTATAGTTGCTAGACGCCTGCTGCTGCTGCTGCTGTTGCTGCTGTTGCTGCTGTTGCTGCTGCTGCTCGCTGCTGTTGTTGCTGCTGCCGCCGTCCAGCTGTCAGTTAAATTTAATCAACATAAATAGGCATAAATGCAGTTGATTTGCGGTTGAAACTTACCTCAGCGTGCGCATTGGCGCTCATTAAATTATCACATGTTGTTGTTGCTGCTGTTGTTGTTGCTGCTGTTGTCGTTGTAATTTGTTGCTGCTGATTGCCATCGATAATCGACTGTAAGGAACTGGAGGTGGATGATGTTGCTGATGTGGAAGGAGTATTGCCAGCGGAAGACGTTGCTGCTGTTGCCCCAAGCTGATTGTTGTTGCTGCTGCTGCTGCTGCTGCTATGATGCTCAGGTGACATGCACATGGCCTCAACTGGGGGTTGATTGCTGCTGCTGCTGCTGCTGCTACTACTGTTGTTGTTGTTGTTGGGGGTGGATGTCTGTTGCAATTTATAATAATGTTGCTGCTGTTGAGTGTTGGCTTGCTGCTGCTGTTGATTGTATATAAAGTTATTGCTGTTGTTGTTTATGACATTTAATTCGTTGTTTGTGTGAGCTGTTGCTGTTGCTCCTGCTGCTGTTGTTGTTTGATTTGCTGCTGTTGTTGTTGCTGCTGCTGTTAATTGCTTATTGCTGCTGTTATTTGTATTGTGGCTCAGTTTGTTGCTATTTGCGGTCAACTGCTGCTGCTGCTGCTGCTGCTGGCTTTGGTTTTCAATTAGTTCCGTATCCATGACATTTGCTGCTGCTGTTGTTGTTGCTGCTGCTGCTGCTGCTGCTACTGCTGCTGCCTCCCTTGTTGTCGCCGTTATTGTTGTATTGGCAATTTGCAGGCGATGATTTAAATGTGCTGAGCTGTTGCTATTATTGCTGTTGTTGCTGCTGTGTTGATTATGACTTTGATTGCTTTGATTGTGACTAGCTACAAAGCGCTGCAAGTTTAGATGTTGCTGCTGCTGTTGATATTGTTGTTGCTGTTGCTGCTGCTGCTGCTGTTGTTGTTGCTGCTGTTGCTGCTGTATTATCAGATTGTTTCTTGTGGCCAACATCTGATTGGCGCCACGATATTGCTGCTGATAGCTTCCTTCGCTGTGATTGGCCTGCTGCTGCTGCTGCTGTTGCTGCTGGGGAATGATTTGAAATTTGATCGCCGACTCTTGCGGCAGCTGCTGCGTTGCATTGTGAAACTGCGCGTGTGGATTGTCCAAATGCAGCGTCGCATCACGCTGTCTGTGTCGCTCCGACCAGCGTGAATAAAGCTGCAAGTATTAAAGATTCGTCAGCCCCAAGCCCCATATTTTCTGCCTCTCCACTTACCTTGCTGGCCACCACAACGTTGGGTGTGCCGTTGGCTGTGCTGTAGGCATCATTGGGTCGCTTCTCTGAGACGCTCTTCAATATGCCGCCCGTGCGTCGCATAACGGGATGCGTGCAGGTCTTGCCATCTGCACAGGTTGCATCGCCGCAGCCGCAATCGAGTTGTTTGACTAGCGCGGCTTGCCGCGAGAGACGTTGCTTCTCCATCAGCTGGCATACGATAGACTCCACTGTTTCGGCCGTCTATGGGGGACAATTGCAATTGAGTAAATGGCATAACTGTTATACTACCTAGTTTATTGAGTAGTTCTCAATATACATAGAAAGCTTAAGAAACTGTTATACATGTATATATTAGCTAAATAACTGTTATAAAAACAGATCTACTAGATTTTAGACTAGCAATTGTCAGCTAATTAAAATAGGTGTAGTGCAACCAACTGTTATACCAATTGTTATAAAAGCACTAAGCTGTTATACTGCCAGTTGCTATATATTCCAACTCGACTACTTGGTTTTATAACCTTTTATTTACAAGTATTATAGAAACGTTATATAAACTGTTATACTAACTGTTATACAGACTATTATACAAACTGTTATACTTACCGATATCTCAATATCATTGCCCGAATCGGAGTCCTCATCTGAATTCACTGTGGACACTGCATGCAACGAACGTCTCTTTATATAGTCTTCAACTACAACAACTGTTATACTCACGCATAGGCTTTAGTTGACTAACCAGCTCCTCTTTGGTCCACTCCTTCTTATCGCCCCAGAGCGTTATGCTCGGCGCAATGACGGCCATTTTATTATCGTCCGGATAGGGCACATTCAGATAATGCACCAAAACAATGTCCGGATTCTGTTTTGGTGTTATTGTTGTAACGAAGTTAAAGTAGTTCAGCTTAGTAAGTATGCCTCACAAACAATCTGTGATACCTACCTGCAATAGCCAGTAACATCTGCGATGAAATGTGGGCAATATGGCCGAGTGTACGTAACAACCATAGATGCACTGTGGAGCAATTGGGAAAACAATTTAGCCAAAAAAGAAACACAAACAAGAGCATAAAAATGTGTAGATAAAGATAGATGTAGAGATATATATATATATTGATTTATACAGCCAGAGCAACACGCAGCGCCTTGATTTAATTGGAAGACATAAAAAAGACGCAGCTCAAATTAAATTACCAAACGCCCACGCTAGGGGGCGCCAGCATAGACTCTAGCTAAGGGCAAATCTCAGAGTCAAGTGCCAAAAATCAAACCCTTTTTTGTATGACTTATACAACATTATCTACTGCTGCTGCTGCTGCTAGTGTTGCTGCTGCTGCTTCTTCCTCCTCATCTTCTACTTCCTCTGCTTGTTTTTGTTTTTGTTCTCTGCGCAATTTCTTTTGCTATTTGGCGCTGATAAATTTTGTTGGCCGTCGCCTTTGAACGATATGCCGCTGACTTCTTTTCTATGTTTGTTTTTTTTTTCTTTTTAAAAGTGTTCAACGTTTATAAATATTAGTTATCGTGTAAGAAGACAGACGAACAGCCGGACAGACAGACAGCAAAGGAAAACCCCTGCTGTGTGTTTGCCAAGTGCATAAATCTCGCGGCAGCTACTTGTCTTGGACAAAAAACCTTCGCCAAGTGCAAGCGGTATTAAAATAAAAATTAAAACAAACAAACAGAAAAAATTGGCGTGAAATTGCCAACTGTTTTTCTTCTTCTTCCATATACATAAATATATATATATATATGTATATATATATCTCACAACATATGAAGAGTTCGGAGTTCTCTTTGCTTTAACTTCAGTCAGACAGGAATATGCTTAACCCTAGCCAAAGCTTATTTCATTAGCAGACAAACAAACGCCCAGTACAAGGACAATGGCAAAAAAAAAGAAACTGTTATACTTATATTTCCGCCGGAAAATCATAATTCACTTTGAACAAAAAAAAGTGTTCTTAACAACCCTCAAGCAGTTAAGGCAGTTAAACTTAAGCTTTGCCTTCCGTTTATTTGTTTTTTTTTTTGTATCTGGTAATCTTTATGGGACTCTTGTCCAGTTTTTAAGACTTTCTGGCTAATTGACTAATTGCCCAGCAGGCGTCAATGAAAGTTCTTAAAAAAGAAATTGTCACTTTGAAAAGCCTTTTTCAGTCGAAGTTTTTCTGCTAACTACAAGCTGATGTCACTTGGTCGTTATTGAATGTATTTTTTACGAAATGATTTTGTCTTTATATTTTTAGTTTTAGTGTGATTTCGTATTAGAATTCGAATTTCTGTATATTTCTTGAAATATTTAGTTTAAGCCGTAAGGCAACTTTATACTTTCATAATTTATTTATATCGATTAAAGCTGCGTAATATTGATTTGAATTCTAGTTCTAGTTCAATTCTCTCTTCCAATTCAGAAATATGTTTTATTACATTGTAAATCCATAGAGCTATGCTCTTAGGTAATTCTGCTATCTAAATTAAAACATATTGTTTCATAGCTCACCTCAGTGCCTTGTACTTTAAGTTTCATGTGATCCTCGCGGGTTGTCTTCCCATCCTTGCGTTTCTTCCAGCAGTAGCCATCGCGTCTGTAGCGCACCTTCTTTCTCGAGTAGAGCAACAGAGAGCCGCTCTTCGGTCTACAAGGGAGAGAGAGAGAGAGATGGAGTAATATTGAGCTATTGCGTTGTAGACTAAATGTGGGCCAACATTTGGTGGCGAGCAGCGTGACTCACCTTGTTTTGACTTCTTTTGATTGCCATTCGCTGTGCTTATCAAAGCTGATAAGAATCGCTGCGATTTCCTGAAATATTTTAGTAAAAACAAACAAGCAAACAAATATTTGTTGAAAAAGCGATTAAATATGTTTGGAGCAGTGCGATTATAAATACGCTAATAAAAGGTTTAATATATATTTATGAAATCCCATGTGCATAATCTAGTCAAGTTTGATAATAGCATGGCTTTTTCTTCAAATAATTTTTAGGAAATATTATTTAAAGACTTCTATCGCGCGACTTCAAGTGTCTACAGCGCTTTTGGCTTATAGAGTATTCAGTATTCGTCTCATTTTGTTCTGCTCTTCTCTTCGCTGCGAGCGTCCTTCAGTTTGCCTAATCAGCAAGTCACGTGTGTTTACCAATTTTTAAAGCACAACAACAACAACAACAACAACAAGAGCAATGAGAACTTCTCTGAACTGTGCAAATGAATGTTAACCAAGTTAAGTGAACGTGCTAACAATTTCCGAGTTACTGGAAAATTTTTAGCTAGCCAAAGCACTCGCGGCATTTCCTGCCCCATTGTCCGGCAAAAGTTGCCTTTTCTCTTTGGCCTTTTTGTTGCTTTTGGTTTGTTGCGCATAAAACAAAGGAAAACATTTTAGAAATTTCATTTGACCGCAGCAGCAGCAACAGCAACAGCCAAAGCTAAAGGCAGGTAGCCACAGGATGCCCAAGTGTGACCACAATTTACAGGTGTCGCCACTTGACACCTGGGCATGAGCAGAATGGGCGTTTGAAAGAGACTGTGAAAGAAGTGAGTGAAGAGTCAAAGGCAGAGGGGGAGAGAGTCTTTGTGTGAGTAGTTAAAATGCGTTAGCTTGATAAACAGTCAACAGAAAGGTGAAATATGAAGTGGAATAAGAGTGAAAAGACAAAAATTTGACAGCCAAGAGTTTGTGTTCTATGGAAGTTGGAAAGAGTTTAGGGGGAGAGACCCCGATATAAAAAGCGAGAGAGAGAGATTCCTAATGAGGTGGCAACTCTGTTGGGTAGTCAATCGTCAATCGTCAATCGTCAATCGTCAATGGAATATGCATGAAATTTGAAGTAGAAGTGAAAAGTAACAGAAAGACTATGAAGACTATGAAATATGCGTAAGGAATGTGACAGCACAAGAGGCCATTGAAGAAATAGAGAATAGCAGATAGCTGCTCTGTAGTACAGTAAAACATTCAAATGCAAATCACACAAGCAGGCAACTGAAATCGAGTTGGGTTTGAGAGTTTCATTGGCTGTGTTTGCTGAGCTTTTGCCCATTTGGCATTTCATTGCATGTTTTGCCGATAAAGTTATCAATTTGTTTTGCCAGCCTTGACGTTGCATGAATAATGTAAAGTAGCCATACGCTCACACACACACACATGCACATTCGGGCCCATTCAAAGACGAAGAACCCATTCATCTGCGCCGTCAACAACTGGCCAAAAAAAAAAAGGAACTCGCGCGCGCACAGCTGGCGACGCCCGTAGTTCATGCTTCGTATGCTTCCATACGCCGTATTTCGTATGCTCGTAGTCCATGGTCCGTACAGTCCTCATACATAGCCCATTGACGATGTGCAGCAACAATTTCATATGTCAGAAATCGCAACATTTGCGAGTGTCATAAAAATTGTATGCACAGCAGCTGCACTTGGAGAAAAAGCAGAGGCAACGAGGCGAATAGATGGCTTGGAATATGTATAAGAAGTTTTTAAAACTTCAAATAAATTAAGTTAAAAGACTTAATATAATAATTAGCTAAGAAAATTGTTGCAATAAATACAGTAGTCAACAAAATTTGATAAGGTTTGGCAACCACAAAGCAAACTTTAATTTTAAGATTCAGATTTAGTTAGCAAATCAAAGATTTAAACTTTTTAGCTACAATTCTAAGATCGAAATACTATGAATTCAAATGCCTAATGCAACTTTTCTCTCAGTGTAGTATACGAATTGGGCACTGCTAACTGTGAGAGGATGAGAGTTGCGAAATCACAGGCGCGTGTTTGTCAAGTGGCAAACGTTTGCATTTTGGTCCAAATTGCCTTTGACTTTGGCATTGGCTCTTTTGCTTATTTATGCATGCCCCAAAGCTCTGGCTTGCCACAGGCAACTCTTCATTTTTTTTATGATGAATTCTAGGCACATACGTTCGAGTTCGAGTAGCTGCGCGAAATGCGCATTAAATATTTATGCGCACCTCAGCGCATTTGCTACACACACACGCACACATGGCAGCCCCTTGCCACGCCTTCTGCCTCAGCTTGTGGCGCTTGCAACACACAAAACAATTAGACTTAGCTATTTACAGCTTTTATTCTCAGCCAAACTGAACTTTGCGTCTCATTATCAATTTAAGTGTTTTGATTCTTTCCATTGGGGCTTTGCAGCGGGGCGTGGCATGGCCAGAAGTTGGTATTACATTGCTCAGCTGCTTTATGGTCGAGCTTCGAGTCTCGTCGCCAAATTAAAACTGTGTGGTTAAAGCCAAAAGCCCGAGCGAGGCCATTTAATGGTCAGACCCAATGCTGAAAACCAACTTAAAAGCTGCCCCCTCTCCCGCGTCGCCTCTCTACGCCCCTGCAACGCCGCTCGTCCTGTAAGCAGACTAAAATAAGCGTGCGTAATTTTATTTATGCTTCGTACACGGTTACATTTTGTAATTTTTGCATGCTGATGCAGTACCGCAGGAGCAGGAGACGGAAGCGGTCACTGAAGAGGGTTTATAGAGGGGAGCAGTTACTACGAGTGCGACAGCCATTGGCCACACAGGCCTCCCTCTCTGGCGAAACTTTATATTAATAAACTGTGGCACGGTCTGCTTTATACACTGATTATGCTTCAGTAGATAAAAATCTGCCTGCGCACTTTATAATGAGGGAATGGGCAAGATATGCTGCTTATATACCCTGGAACTGAAGGGACTAGCTCATAGGAGGTATATACCTAAGTAAAAGTAACGTACGTAACTTTCCACACAGATTTCTGGTTTCATAATCTACATACTAATTGAATGTCTTCTCTTCTTACCTTATCTACGATTCCCTTCTTTCCTACATTAGATATAGATCTAGAACTTCTTCTACCTTTGGGTTCATTATTCTAGAAATTTTTCTTTGCTTATTGCTTTTCTTTGGTAAATTTCCATCTCTCAAGAAAAGATTCTTGCCTTTTCTGTTCTCTATTTATTTACTCTGAACTCCTCGCAACTTTTGTCGTTTTTTCTCTTTTTGTACTTCTCTTTAGGTCCTTCTGATCGTTCGGGTGTAGTTTCTTCTGGATTTTTTTTCTCTATAATTTTTCTCTTTTCTGATTTTCTATGCTCTTCTTAGCTTCGCTGCTGATAGATCACATTTATACTTCTTTATAGCACTTCACTTCTATTTTGAAATCTTCTGGCCCATCATACATTTTCTTCTTCTTCTTTCATTCTTTTATTCACTATATTTTGTCCTCTTTTGGTCCTTTATCTGTTCTTTCCCTCCTTTACACGCTTTTCTCTCTCATCTCTACTAACCTGTTTCTTTTCACCCAAAATTTTCCCAGCTGTTCCCGCTCTTTTGCCTCTTTAGAGCATTAAAGTCTCGTTTACCCTCAGGATAAATTTACCATCTCATTGTTTTGCTTGATTTTTAATTTAGTCAGCTTGTCGCACGAGTATGTAAATTGTCGCTTACCGAATGCTGCTGCGCGCTCCCACTCTCGCCTCTCACTCTTTGGCAAAAACTTTACAACTGTCCAAATGAATATTTGCGGTTGCGTTTAATTCACAAGTAAAACAGAGCAACAGCAACAGCAACAGCAACAGCCACAGCGACTGGGCGGCAAATGTTCTGCTTTTTTAAACGCAAAAGTTTTATTGTAAACACAAAGAGCCGAAACGAAACTTTGGCGCGTACGTGCGCTGGCCAGGACAAATGGCATAGCAGCGCCTCGCGAATCCTGGCAGGCCAAACAATTTCTATTTGTATTATAGTTTTGTGTCGCATAAAAAAAGAGTCAAAGAACTTCGCGACTATTCCTAATAAACCAACAAACTAACCAGAGCTGTCCACAGCAGGTCGAGGCGTGTCTTATTAATCTCTAACCAAAAAAATAGCCAAAGGAAGCGTGTCCTTTAGCGCTGTCAAAGTGTCCAGCCAGAAGGACTGGCAGGCTCATCCTGCCTGTCAAGTGCGAGTCAAGACTTTATTCAGTTGTTGTTTTTTCTGCTTTCAGTTTCGACATTTTTTATGTGCAATCAAATGCAAATCGAGGCACAAACACACAAATAAACTATATATATATAGTAAATATATATAGTAAATATATATATATATATATATATATACAGATATCTATAGATATGTCTGTGTTCATGTATGTTAAACTGACCTCATTTGTATTCCAGCGATGTCGCTGCGATGGGAAACTGTCGGCTCTTGGCAGGCTCTCCAAATTGTCGGGCAGTTTGATAGGTTCGCCATCTGGAAAAAAGCAAGGAATGAAATCGTAGCAAATGCATTGAAAGTGTAAGTACGTCTATAAAATTCACAATCCTGTTGCATAATGTAAATTCATATATATATATATATAAAATTTTGCATATAGTCAAGCTGCCACGCCCACTCCCACTCTTACCTCGTTGGCTGCCCAACAGGTGCAGCTAAATGCGACAAAAATGTAAATCTTGATGATTTATAGAATTTTAAATGTCAACTTAATAATGCTTCAGGTCTTCAGGCTTCAGGCTTCAGTTCTTCAACAACTCTACACAATCATTTATCACTGGAATAACTTTTGGCATATGTCTGCTGCTGCTGCTGCTGCTGCTGCTGGCGTTTTCTTTTTCTTTTTATGGAAAATGCATTCTAGCCAAATGCGTGTCTCTCCTTCTGAAGCTGTCCCTCTCTCTCTCTCTCGCTCTTTGAGTCTTTTTTTTTTTTTTTTTTTTTTTTTTTTTTTTTTTTTTTTTTCGTTTTTATTTCTTTATTTTGTTGCAGCTTATTGTCTTAGACTCTATAGCGCATTTAGCTCTAAACCTTAACTAATGGGAGGGCAGATATGCCAATTATTCTGCACTTGTAGCTACTATCTTAATTAGTTCTAATATTGTCTAGAGGATGCAATCTCTTCAGTCTTCGCCTATTGTTGTTTATAGCCAGGTTGCTTGCGAGATGGTTAGGATGCGCTGCAAGTCTGTCCGCGTATCTTGAACTGTGTCGCCCAATGAGTTCAGCAACTGTGGGAATTGCTAAATCCCTATGTAAGACTGAGTTTCTTACAAACCAGCTGGCTCCAGTCCATCTGCGTAGTGCTTTATTCTGCAGGGTCTGAATTTTGTTCCTTGTAGTCTTCGCCGAGGAGCCCCATAGAGAGATACCATATACGAAGGTTGGGACAACTATTGCCTTGTAGATGGCGGCCTTGCTGCTGTAAGACAACTTGCTTGAAGCTCTCAGCATCCAGTCGAGGGTTTTTAGCTTGCTTTTGCATTTTGAGGTTACTTGACTTATGTGCGCTTTAAAAGTCAGCCTTCTGTCAAGAGTGATACCAAGGTACTTTACTTTTGAGGCTTTGGGAATAGTGGGCCCCAATGCAACGCTTGGGCAATCTCCTCTTCTAGTGGCGAAGGTAGTATGTACAGACTTTTGTGCATTAATGGTGATACACCACCGTTTTGCCCAGCGTCCGAAAGAGTCCAGATATTTTTGTAGTGAGTCTGAAGCTTCTTGCGCAGATACGTGACGTGATAAGATGGCGGTGTCATCTGCATAGGTCGCTATGAGTACTGCATCTGTACTTCCTATATTTGGCTCGGGAGTTGGCATATCTCCTGTGAATAAAGTATAAAGTGTTGGGCCTAGAACACTACCCTGTGGTACTCCAGCCATAATTGGTCTAGTCAAGGATACTGTTTGCCCCCTTGACACTTGGAAGGTTCTTCCAATAAGGTATGAGGATAGCAACGCGAAAAATGGGGCTGGAAGGGTGGTCCTCACTTTCTGCAGCAGTCCCAGGTGCCAAACTCGATCAAACGCCTGTTTGATGTCTAAAAAGACGGCAGAGCAGTACATCTTTTCTTCAAAGGCTCCAAGGATATGGTGCACAACTCTGTGAACCTGTTCCGGTGTTCCATGCTGTCTCCTGAAGCCAAACTGATGGTTTGGAATGGCCTCCTGGCGTCCCAGATGTGTCAGTACTCGTTCCAGAAATATTCTTTCGAATATTTTGGAGAGTACTGGCAACAGGCTAATTGGTCTGTACGACTCAATTTCTCCCACGGGTTTGCCAGGCTTAGGAATCATCACAATCACGGCGCGCTTCCAGCAGGCTGGAAAGTGCCGGATGCGGAGCATGGCGTTGTACACCATAGTTATGTAGTCTATGGTGGAGTCAGGCAGTGCTCTAAGGACTCTGCCGTTTATTAGATCATATCCAGGGGATTTTTTTGCCTTCACTCTTCTGATGTGTTCAAGAACCTCTTCTTTTGTACATCCAGTTATCTGGTCTTCAGCTGGGAGGGGCGAGAGAACGATGTCTTCTGTTGCTTCGATTTCTGAGGCCTCTGCGGTAATCACCGGCGTGAATTGGTCTTGAAGGTGGTTTGCAAAAGCCTCAGCTTGAGCTTCGTCTCCAATGTGCCAGGAACCAGAAATGCTCCGAATGGGATGACGTCGTATTGGCTGCCGTTTGAGCTTTCTTGTAAATTTCCATAATTGAAACTCTGCGTCAGTGGGCGATTCAGCTCGTACCAGCGCATCGCTGATACACCTCTTTTGAAGCAGGGCGAGAGCAGCTTTAAGATGCCTCGTGGCTTCGTTGTACATGGATTTGGCATCAGGCGTGCGTAATCTTAACCAGCGTCTCCTGGCCCATCTTTTGTGTATTAGTAGGTGTTGGGCCTCCAAGGTGAGGGGGATGTTGTACGGAGACTGTTGTCTTGTTTGGCAAGATGGTGGGGCGGCTTGGTGCGCAGCTTTGACTATTTCTTCCTGCAGTTTGTTTGCTGCGTAGTCCACGTCTTCAGGAGTGTTAAGTTCCATTTCTATGTGCAAAGAGTAATGGAGCTCGCGCCTAAAGACTCCTAAATCTGATCCTGCTGGCAGTAGTTGTTTCCTAATGGGCAAGGGCTGTGGCTGCGCGTGGATTGTGACTATTAGTGGCAGGTGGTCAGAGGATAGGTCCAAGGATTCTTCAATGGTCAATTGCCGGTCACAGATGCCTTTGTAGACAGCGAAGTCGATTGCCGAGGGCCTGTGTCCATTAATTGGGTAACGGGTGGGGGCTCCAGTCGCCAATATGCTGAATTGTAAGTTTTGAATCGCCTCAAATATGACTTCTCCGCGACGATTCGCACTATTGCTTCCCCAAAATGGGTGCCATCCATTCCAGTCGCCGCCGATGAGGGTCTTATTCAACCTTTGGCCTAGAACCTGTTCCATGTGATGATCACACAGACCAGTGTTTGGCGGAAGATAAATTGACGCAACTTCGATCGCTCCAATAGACGTAGGCAGGGTGATGGCTGAGACCTGCATTGTTGCGTTGCAAATTGGCAGTAAAGGTGTATGCGGTATTGTTGCTCGTATGAGGATTGAGGATCCACCAAAGCAGTTTGCTCCTTCACCATGAGCCTGATAGTGTTCGTATCCGAAAATTTGTGTAGTGGGGCACTCATGAGTTTCTGTTATTAACATTATATCTATGTTTTCTTGTGAGAGAAACGCAGCCAGTTCCTGAGTCTTGTTTCTCAGGCCATTGGCGTTCCAGATACCCACACGTAAAGCCATTATTTGTAGGCAAGCTTGGTTATGATGGCCATTAAACTGTTTAGCATGGTTGCTTGTTGGGATTGTACTTCTCGCATCGCTTTGAGCTCGGCATTAATTGCGTCAAACTGACGTTGTTGTTGCTGAAGCATTTCAGTGAACAAAGTGTCACTTGTGGTATTCTTATTTGACGGTCCACCTCTAGCGGCCTGTGCGTAAGAAACACCACTAATAGGCGTTGCAAAGCTCGTGGCTTGGGTAATGCTCCGGGGCCTTGTAATTTCGGAAGCAGTACTCGGACCCGTAGACGGTGTTTGTGTGGGACTCCTTTTTTGTGCTGGGGATTGCAATTTGCGCAACCGCTTGTATACTTGGCAGCCCTTATAGTTGGCTGGGTGCTGTAACTCACAGTGCACACAAGTTGGTGCCTGGTCCTTTTCGCGGGTGCAGTCTTTGGATGCGTGTTTCCCGGCGCAACGCACACATCTGGGAGCTTTGTGGCAGTAGCGTTGTGTGTGTCCAAATTCTTGACAGCGATGGCATTGTGTCAGGTCGTTGTATCTTCTTGGCAGTTCCACTGTGCAGCGTTGCCTGCAGACAACTCGAATGTCCAAAATTTCTTTGTTGTTGGGGGCCTGAGCCACGTCAACAAAAAATATATTTAGCGGTGTTTTGTCCATACGGCTCAGTGGGTTGTGCACATTTGTAATTGTGTGGCCTTTGGTTTCCAATTCCTTTTTAATTAGTGTTGTATCAGTGCTGGAGTGAAGCCCTTTGAACACGACTCTATATGGTTTGTCCTCCTTAAGCTGGTAGCAGTGGAACTCCAATTCCAGCTTAGTAAAGTGGTCTATAACTCTGCGATAGTCCTCACTGCATTGGGTTAATACACCTATGTTATTCTTCTTTGGCTTAATTACGTATGATTTAGCATCAATTACTTTATCTATTATCTGTTGAAGTAGGGCCACAGACTTGATGTTTGGACACCATATGGGGGGCGGACGAGGTTTCGGAGTAGTTTGCTGGTCGGTCAATACTGGGGCTTCTGGAGCTACAGGTGATTCGCTGTAGTCTTCATCTTCTTCTACGAGCAGTGAAAATCGATTTTCTGATATTAATGCTGCATTGCTGGTGCTTGGTTCGTCGAAGATGAGCCTTTTCTTGATGGTTTTTGGTGAATTTGGCTGTTTACGTTTCGTGTTTTTGTTGTTAGTGATGCCTTGCACGGAGGCGATATCTATTTTTGAGTTTATTGGCATGATGGAGGCTTGCCTATTTGCCATCACAACGTTAAGCTGGGCTTGCATTTCTGCATTTACCTTTACAGCTGTAGCGAGGTTATTGACATTAGATGTCATCGCGGATTGTGCTTTTGAGTGCAGGCGCACTCGCGCCAAGCGACGAAATTTCGTAAATTGCAATTAAAGCAATTGAGTTACGCGGAAGCAAGCGATAAGAAAACGCTGCGTGTGCGGTTTTTGTTGCTGTTGCGTTGAAGAATGCACCGCAAAGTTCTATTTTTAGAACTCTGCAGCAGTAGAGCTTAAGCGAAGGCTGTTCGAATTCACGTCTTTACAGGTCGAACGACTGATCGCGATTGCTCTTTGAGTCATTGAATAATTACGCGCACTTAATGACGCTTGCAACTTGTAAAACTTGGAATCGATTTAAGGTTTACTTGCAGTTCAGCTTCTGGCTTATTAAAATGCCAC